GGCCTTTGGGGAGGAACCTTGTCCCCGCAGCCCTGCTCTGATGTGCTTCGGAGATAAGGCTCCATAGTGACACTTAAGGAAAGGCCTGTTCACATTTGAATTTCTGCATTCCTCAAGAACAATTCATGGCAATAACTAACTTTGCAGAAGAGCTACATGAAAGCTTTGGCCAATGAATGAGGGTCATCTGCTCTTTATCACAAGGGTAAACCTCATCCTGGCCAGTTTCTAACCTTTTAACCCTGTGAATTCCTAATTTACACATGAATAATGGAATTCTTGCCTAGAGTGCAACTTTCAGCTTCTAGTTCCTAAGTTTAGAGACCAAGACTTGATTGCCTGTGTGTTAAAAATCTAAAACTTGCACAGATTAAAGTTTTAGATTTCCAGGTGCTGTACTATTGTGCTTCTGTACAAACAAAAAAATATGCTTACTGATAAAATCCTTGACTAAGAAAAACAACACACTTGTACCCTGCTGCTATCAATACCTAAAAGAGAACTAGCTTTAAAAACAAGGAGGAAAAGAAAACCAGAATGTCCACTTAATGCCTATTCTCTTCCTGTATGTGTGTGTGTATATATATATATTTACTCTGAACATAGGATAAAGGGATTTGAGCCCCCATCGTCTAAACTTATTTCTTAGATATCAGAACTTTGTTAATTTAAAAGATACATAAAATATAAAAACTTCACAATTGCCTGCAAAATGAATCACATGTAATTATTAACAGTGATAATTTCTATAAAGATACAAAAATCTAAAGAGATTTAAAAAGCCAGTCCTGACATTTTGTTATACCTATTACACACCATTCAGATTTTATTTATGAAGTTAGAAAGCTCTGTGTTTTTCCAAGTGTTTCTGGAAGACCCAGAATTCTGTCAGGCTTCTCAGGAGGTCCTGGAAACAATGTGTGGTCATGATAAATGCTTCATCTTCTCATGGCCTATCTGGCCACCTCTACCACCTACTCCCTATCCCTGAGAGATAATATAAGTTACAGTTCCTGAAGATGAAAACACAAGATTCTACAAACCCCAAAAGCTGGGAAAATTACAACTCTATAGAACAAGTTTACATTGGACAAAAATTGAATGAACAGAATATAAGCATAAAAAGCATATTATCTTTAAAACAGCACTATTCAGAAAAACCATTACACCATGAAAAAAATAATTATTGGCCAATGATTACAGGGGGAAGGAAGGAAGGAAGGAAGGAAGGAAGGAAGGAAGGAAGGAAGGCAGGCAGGCAGGCAGGCAGGCAGGCAGGCAGGAAGGCAGGAAGGCAGGCGGGCGGGCGGAGGGAGGGAAGGGATAGGAAGAAGAGGGGTGGGGAGGAAGGTAGGGAGGAAGGAAGGTACCGAAGCAAGGAAGGTAGGGAAGCAAGCAGGGAGAATGGAAGGGAGAGGAGGGGAGGGAAGGAAGGGACAGGAGGAAGGACAGAGGAAGGAAGGGGGAAGGGAGGGGGGAGGGATAAAGGAAGGAAGTAGGAAGGGAGGAGGAGGCAGGGGAGAGAGAGGAAGGAAGAAATGAAAAATCAGAAATCCTCTCAGGTTTATGCTATTCTTTGGCAGGGGTAGGAGTGTGGCTAGAACTGCAAACCTCTGATTTTCTGATGTGTCGATATAGAAATATCTTTGCTTGCAATTTATTTTCTACAATTAATCCTTATTACAGAATAAAATAAATCAGTAATATAAGGATGGCATAAATGGAACACGAACTGTTAACAGTAGTCAGTCACCTAGGAAATTCCTGCCAATAGCTTCCTAAATTTCAACTGTATAGAACTTGAAACAACTATTTCCTAAATATAACGGTTTTTTTTTTTTTCTTAAAGAGATGGAGTCTGTTTCCCAGGCTGGATTCAAACTCCAGGGCTCAAGGAATCTTCCTGCTTCAGCCTCCTCAACAGCTGGGATTACAGGCTAGCCACCAGCCCAGTTAAGATTATGCCTTTATCTCAAGAATGCCATCTACCTATTGCTCAACTTGTAAAAGATCAATTTGTAGGTACAATGCAAAATCTATGTTTTGTGGATTAACAAAAGCACGAAGGTCAAACGCCTTAAAACTTTTTAAGATTCAATTTCGGTTTTGGAGATTTAGTCTACTACACTTGAGAGCTGTGTGTTTCATCACCTGAAAAAGGTGTATGCCTCAGTAGGCACAAGGAGTTCGGCACTTGTCCTAGGCCCATCTTTACACTCAACAGTTACAGGTCAGCCACCAAGTAATGGATCACTTGGACAAATGTTTGATCTGATGGGGTTGTTAATACAAAAGAAATCATTAGATAGCACACTTTATGACAATAGGGGAAAAGTGAGCAGATACGGGTTTAAGTCCATTAGGCATAATATGGAAATGGCCTTAATCTCTTTCCCTCCCAGCAGGAAAAGACTAGGAATACTTCAAAGGCTTAAGAGTGACTGACCAATGCCCTTTGTACAATTAAAAGGCAACATGGGTGATCTAAAAGCAGTCAGAGAAATGGAGGGTTGTGCTATAAGAAAGATTTAGGACTCAAGAGCCATCTGCAAAGCAGAAAAATTTGCTTGTGATTGTTTTCATTAATTACTAATTTCCATAAGATTAAATTTTAGAACAACTTTTGTTGTGTTGGCCAAACTTCTAAATCCAACTCTTCATACTGTGAAACGCTTAAAATTTTTATAAAGTCACCTCTACAGGTTTCATTTTACTTGGTGTTCTAAACCTAATTTGACTTCTGTTCTCAATTACTCATTTGAATTTCTATATGTATTTTCTTCAGATTTCTCTATACGCCTCAGTTAGCATCAACTATTACCTCCAGTAAAATTCTTAATGTATGCATGATCTCGGCGATTATTATATTAATAAAACAAGAAATCATCAAAACGTAGCAATGAAAAATGTCAACAACCAAAAACTTAAACACTTACTTGATAAGGCAAGATGAGCTTTTTGACTAAGAATGGCTCCATATTTGTTCATTGCCAAGCACTGATAAAATCCTTCATCGGACTGCTCTCCTCGCCTGCCTTCCACCTCACTGATGTATAAAGAGCCGTTAGAAAGAACCTCGATCCGTTTATTTTCAGACACTTTTGCTCCATTTTTCAACCATGTGACCTTAATAGGAACTTCTCCGTGAGCCTGGCAATCTAAAACGACTGGGTCCTTTCTTGTGACAGTTACATCCTGTGGTTCTTTTACAAAAGACAGTTCACTAAAGCACCACACTCCTATAAGGAAAAAAGGAGAACGGCACATCCAGAATTACAGGCATAAAATGTTCCTTAACACACAACTGTAAAACACATATTCAGGGTATAAGATGACAAAGTTTAACAAATTTTATTAGTTAGCTTACAAACACCTTAATGAACCAATCTAAATTTCAGCAAACTCTTTCAACAAGTCAGAGAAATTACTTTTTATATCTCCACTAAAAGCATAGGGAAGGTTTCAATAACTTCTATGCCTTGTATGAATTCTCTCAAGTTCCTTGCTAGAGTTTCAGAATCATCAGGAAAACTCATGAGCACAAGCTGTTTGCTTTTACAAGCTTGTCAAAAAGATCTTGAACAGAGTAAGTCGTAAAAGTCTAATTTTACAAGAAATCATTAGCAAAACTCCAACTCTGTGAACAAGCAAGTTTATTTCCTTGTCCCTTGAAGTGTTCTTGGAACCCTTGGCACCTACTCCTTTGGGAACTGCGTTTATCTTTTGTGACAAATTACAAGTTTGCGTTTTTCTATCTGCCCTTTTACAGCAGGGACTCTATCTCCTCTCCTTGAAAGAAATCCATTTACTTAATTTCTGCAGAGCAAGCGAGGTATTTAAAAGACAAACAATAGACTCTGAAAAGTTGGTAACTCTTGCTGCTTGTACTCAGTGGGTGATCGGATTAGGAAACTTTTATTTCACTTTTTTAGAACTACCAACTGTTGGAAAAAATGCGTGACTAATTGGTCCTTACTGTCTAATAGGGATAGGAGATTGCTTAATCAACCAATACACATTTTTATCAGAGCAGAGGAAAGGCTTTATCCTAAGTATATACACATCGCCCCTGGCCCCCGCCAGGATAAAGCATTCGATGATCAAATAATACTCTGTCACCTCCTGCATTTAGCGCACAGGCGATCTTAAAGTCTCGCGTATTGACTGGGGGCGAATGGAGGATGGTTGTGTATGAGGGAAGCGTTGCTTCATCTTCCTCTTGATCGTTATGGTTCTTTGATTACAAACCCCCAGAAATGATGTGTTTCTCCTCAAGGCAGGTCCTCAGAATCCTCACTCTTCAAGGCTCCCTGCTTCCCGTAATGTATGCCCAGGGCGACGCGAGCCACCCTAACAGCCCAGCTCTGGGCGCGGACCACTCCGGAAGGCGCCCATTGTGTTTCTCAGCCACATCTGACTTTGATCCTCTTTTCAAGCCTAACAGAAACTAACCACTCCAGAAAAAGTCTGGTGTTTGTAACCTGCCAATAAATAAAATAATCCATTGTCCTGAACACCTCTCCTACCGTCACCCCATTCACTTTACGTTTTTATCTCTTCTAGCAAACCAATACGGACTTAAGGTAGAAAAATGAGTTCATCCAAGTTTGTGCAAGGCGAACCTAGAATTTGGAAGAATCTTCAGATCCGTACACACTTCAGGCCCTGTCCCCAAATACCTAGCTGTAGGAAATAAATTCCATTTAGCTACCTTCCTTTCCAGCTTCTGGGACCTTTCTCCCTGCCTCTCCGGGGCACAAATCGGTCACTTCACTTCCAACCTTGCCAATTCCACCCTCCCATCTCCTCCTAGCTCGACCGGGATCAGGCAAGGAGGTGCTGACTGGGGCTATGAATTCATCTATTCCCTCTCGCAGCCCTAAAACGTGGGGGAACTCCCACTGCAGACACGGGAAGCCGCGCGGAACCGCGGCGCCCCCTGCACGGCGAGGCTGCCACTAAGGAAACAATATAAATAAAGCCACGTGCGGCCGCGGCGGCCCCGGCGGGCGGGCGGGCTACCCGGAGCCCGGCTGGTCGCGGAGGCGGGGACGCGGCCGGAGCCGGGACAATGGCGCGAGAAGGAAGAGACCAGAGTGGACAGCGGCCACCAGAACTCAGCAGCCCCGGGCGCGCGGCAGGGAGGGGTGTGCGCCCGGAGAGGTTCCCGCAGCCCTGCCCGCGCAGCGCAAAGCCCGCGGGCAACTCGTGTTTGCAGCCTGCGGCTCCGGACAGGCCGCAGGGCGAGAGCGGGGGCCGGCGGTCAGCGCCACCACGGAGGACCTCGCCGCGCGCTCCCCCCGCCCCATCGTTTCCTCTTTCCCCATCCCACTCGCGCCTGCTCCCGCCCCACAGCGGTAAGGGAAAGCAGAAGAAAGTGCGCCCACCTGGCACAGGACTGAGCAGCAGCAGGAGCAGGAGGGCGCGGAGCAGCATCCCCGGCGGCCGCAGCCGGGCGAGGGGTCGCAGAGGAGGCGCCATTCAGCGTAGCCGCGCGGGCATGCTCCCCCGCCGCCCCGAGCCGCTGTCCGCCTGCCGCCCCCGCCCCGGGCGCTTTCTGCTCGGCGGCTGGACGCACGTAGCCCGGCTCTCGGCTCTGGCTCCGGCACCGGCGTGGCGAGGTGTGGCGCGGATCTCTGCGGCAGCGAGGCCGGTGCTTGGACGGCCGCTCGCGAGAAGCTGGGGGCCTGAGAGTCCGGCTGGGGGCGGAGTGAGGCGGCGGCTGCAGAGGGCGGGGGCGGCGGAGTGGACAGCGCCGCGGCCGCCCGCCTGGGACTACTTTCTACATCTGGCCCCTGGTCTGGGACCGGGAGGTCGGCGCGGCCGGCGGAGGGAGACGCTGGAAGGGGGCCGGGGGCGGCGAGGTCGGAGCCCGGGGGGGAGGGGATGGGCCCAGCCGGACAATGCACCTGGGGGTCAATCCCTGGCTGAGGGTCTCGGGCCCGCGTCCCCGCCCCCTCTGCCCCGCGCCACCGTTGGGGACAGAGCCACAAAGGCCGAGCCTCCCGGCCCAGCCAGCCTCCGGTGCCCCTCTCCCGCGGCTAGTTGAGGATTGGGGAAGGGGGAGGCGGCCGGGGAGGGCTGGTGTTGAGAGACAGGGAAAGGCCGGAGGCTTCTCCCCTGATGGCCCCCGCCCACCCCCTCCTTCCCTCACACGCAGAGGCCCTGTGCAGGGAAATCTCACTCTATCCCACTTCAGAGATTTGTCAGCTCCACTGGAGGCATCTCCGGATGATAAGCCCCCGGAGATGCCCCCGTGCATTTGGGCATGGCTCTTCTTCTCCCTGCCCCCATTAGTTGCAGCGCGGGCTTAAAAATATCTCTGAAGAGTGCTCTCAAATGAACAGTCGCCTTTAGGGGAAAGGGTTTATTATCTCTTCTTCAAGTTAGTCAAGTTCTTTAATTTGTGAGAGCTGTACACACAAAAGGCTCTGTCCTGAGAGCAGAGGCGAGATCAAGGGATTTCTAGATTCTGTGGGCTTGCTATGGGAGAGAAGGCTTTGATAGATTACTTGTTTATAAATTAAACTAAGGCACAAATGGGAATTTGTTCACATCTAAATTTAATTAAGGATTACAGGGGTTGAAACGTACATTTAAAGAATGTAATCAGATTGCTAAACGTGTGGATCATAGTGTTTACATGTGGATTAACATTTGCTAATCCAAAACTAAATCTGTGGCACATGATGAGGGCACAGGCTAAAAGCTAGCCTTCATGAAAGCTGCTGACGGAAATCTACCTTTGGTCACCAAGACATCGACACACTAACTGCCTTTAGCACGTTCAGGAAATCCTCCTGGGCCGGTGCGGTGGCTCATATTTGTAATCCCAGCACTTTGGGAGGCCGAGGCGAGCGGATCACTTGAGGTCAGGAGTTCGAGACCAGCATGGGCAACATAGGGAGACCCCCCCCCCCCGTCTCTACCCACCACTGACCCCCATACTCCCAAAACTTAGCCGCTCCAGTAGTCCCAACTACTTGGGAGGCTGGGGTGGGAGGGTCGCTTGAGACCAGAAGTAGAGGCTGGGGTGAGCCATGATCAGGCCACTGCACTCCCGCATGTTTCCAATAAATAAATAAACCCTCCTGATGAAGTAGTTAAAAGAAAAAATAGAATATTAGGATAACACTACCTTCCCCCCTTAAGCTCATTATAGTAAGAACAGCCTATTTAGCAATTTCAACTTACTGCATTTAAAACAATGATATCCTTGGTGTGCTGACATTGAGACCTGTCCAAAGCTTAATATATTTTCAGGGACAGTGCAGATGTGATTTTACCTGAAATCTTACAGTACTTTTGTGGCACATAACTTGTACATATTTTATCGTGAGCCAGTAAGCATCTTGAGGTCACAAATCGTACGTAATCCACTTTTGTGTTATTCACAATGTGAAGGACATTGCCTTACGATTATTAAGAATTGAATAGATCTTCGTTGACTGAGGGAATAATGAATTACTGTGCCAAAATGCCATTAAATAGATGGAGAGCAATTGGGAGACAGGTCTCTGGGAGAGGATTACAAAGTCCTGTACTTGGGGTTGTCTTTGTCTAGTCTGCATTTATTATCATCAGCTTAAGGACATGTTTATCTGATTTTGCGTTTAACACAATGTGTAATTAATATGTTACGTGGGCTGGGCGTGGTGGCTCACGCCTGTAATCCCAGCACTTTGGGAGGCCAAGGCAGGTGTATCACCTGAGGTCAGGAGTTTGAGACCAGCCTGGCCAGCATGGTCAAACCTCGTCTCTACTAAAAATACAAAAATTAGCCAGGTGTGGTGGTAAATGGCTGTAGTCCCAGCTACTCAGGAGGCTGAGGCAGGAGAATCACTTGAACCCAGGAAACGGAGGTTGCAGTGAGTCGAGATCGTGTCACTGCACTCCAGCCTGGGCAACAGAGCAAGACTCTATCTCAAAAAAAAAAAAAAAGGTTACATGATAGAATAAGAGTTTTCTCTACTCCTGGTAGTTGTCTAGGAAGTTGGAGACTAAGTAAAGAGGTCCTGAGGGACCCCTCAAGTGAAGATGAGGAGTACAACAATTTCCAACAGAGAGGAGGAGAGGAGGAAACAGGAGCCAGAAGTAACTCAGGCACCAGAACTGAAGGGGCAGGAAAGGAGACGTGATGAAGGGTGTGCAGCAGAGGGGAGCATAGGATGTTTAGAACTAAGGCCAAGAGCACTGGGCATCTCCATGGACATATGCCAGCAATGGGAAGAGTCTTAGAGGAACAGCTGAGGGCTGGCCACAGTCACTCATTCAACAAAATTATGAGCATAAAATGTGTTTCAGGCATGGATAGATGTTAGAAATACAGCTATAAGAAAATTATGTAAATATTGACTGGGTGTGGTGGCTCATGCCTGTAATCCTAGCACTTTGGGAGGACGAGGTGGGCAGATTACCTGAGGTTGAGAGTTCAAGATCAGCCTGGCCAACATGGTGAAACCCCCATCTCTACTAAAAATACAAAAAATTAGCCAGGTGCAGTGGCGCATGTCTGTAATCCCAGCTACTGGGGAGCCTGAGGCAGGAGAATTGCTTGAACCCAGGAGGTGGAGGTTGAGGTGAGCCGAGACCGCGTCACTGCACTCCAGCCTAGATGACAGAGCAAGACTTAGTCTCAAAAAAAAAAAAAATTATATAGATACTGAATATTATGATGAAGCCTGTAATGTTCAGGACAAAATAAGAACAGAATTTAAGGAACAATTTATATTCCTGTGGTGGAATGAGATGGGAAAGGAGAGAGCATGCTGCCAAAAAATGTGAGGAGTCTCAAATTTTATCTTGCTTGCAAACTAATAAGTTAGCCTGCCACTATTTCACGATGCAGTGTCAGAGATGGAGGACATTATTTTGCTCATAACAATAGTAATAATCAGAGTTTCAGCAATTTTGCATCTCAGGTCTCAAATCCCACAGCAACACAAAGGGAGCCAGAGGTCACCTGTACACGCAGTGGGTTGTGTTACAGGAGAGGAATCCAAAACTTAGAGAACCCAAATCTTCTATAATGGGCCATAAGCATGCCTGCCTTGCTTTGGAGGGAGACACTATCTTTGTCTTCCAAGGCTGTTCACTATACAAACATTCTTGAAGATACAGTTCACATCAAAATGCATTCAGTGTTTTTCTTGCAAGTTGTGCAGGAGACTCATGGAGAAATATCACCTAACATGTGCTGTGCAGGGGAGCTTGTATCTGTGGTGAATCTGGAGGGTGAGTTGAAGTTTTCTAGTTGGACTGGATTGGCCTTCCAGAGAGAACAACAGGAATAAGGCACTGAAGTATGAAAGATCGAAACTACAGGTAGTTCAGTACAGCTAGAGTGCAGGCCACATTGGAGAGAAAAGAGGCATGCCATGCAAAGGAGCTTGAACCTTTTTGTTTTTGTTTTTGAGACGGAGTCTCGCTCTGTTGGCCAGGCTGGAGTGCAGTGGTGAGAGCTCGGCTCACTGCAAGCTCTGCCTCCCAGGTTCATGCCATTCTCCTGCCTCCTCCCGAGTAGCTGGGACTACAGGCACCCACCACCACACCCGGCTAATTTTTTGTATTTTTAGTAGAGACAGGGTTTCACTATGTTAGCCAGGATGGTCTTGATCTCCTGACCTCGTGATCTGCCTGCCTTGGCCTCCCAAAGTGCTGGGATTACAGGCGTGAACCACTGTGCCCGGCCAGGAGCTTGAACCTTGTCCTGGAGGCCTTGATTTCCCAAAGGCCGCCCTTTGGAATAGTTGCCATGTTTCAGCTCTCAGTACCTCTCATCTGAGCCATCGCATTAGAATGGGCTCTCAACAGTCTTCCAACACACCTTCCAATCTTTTCATATGCCTATCCATTTTTATAGTTACTACCAGGTGAATAGATGCCCTGTTCCAGCTGCTTTAGCAGTTTTATCACTCAATCCTCATAACTAGATAAGTTTGGTAAAACTATTCTCATTTTACAGATGAGCAGAAGCTCAGAGAGGTTAAGTTGCTTAGTCTAGATCACACAGCATATAGATGACAAAGGCATGATTCTCCCCCAAGTCTACCTGACTCAGAGTTTTTGTCCTTAGAATTCTGAGTATACTGTGAAAAGTAGAAGAGATAGAGGAGTGATAGCTGGAAGCAGACAGATAGAACTACTGACAGACTCTAACATTAAAGTAATTTTTATTAGCTGAGAGTTGATTCTGTATTTCCTGTGCTCTGAAATGACACTTCTCACTGGTTCTTTCTGTCACACTTCCCATTCTCCTCACAATCTACCTGAGACTACCACCTTTTTCTGTTTTGCATGGACTAGTAAACCACAGACAACTAGTAGATACGGGATGTGAAATATCTCCCTTGCTTTTCATGTAGCATGGAATGTCACTGAGATAAACTACTCTTTGGTTAATTCAGTTGTATTTATGGATAAGAGTCAGGGTTGGGCATGGGGAAAGCTGACTATTGGTGCCGTTGGTGAGAAGACCTGCAGGTATTAATTACAACTGAACCAACAATGTGTATGATTGTCAGTCTCACTAATGCAAACCTGTACTGTAGTCATTGATGTGTATTGTCCAGGACAAGCAAGGCTTAGTTTGATATACGTCACTTTGGTCATACTAGGTCTGGCATATTATAGTCGTCTCTGAATTCTACATTTTGAGAGGCAAAGACAGCCTAGAATGCAAGCAGAGCAGAACTAAGAAGGTAAGATGTTTGGAAACCAAAATACAGAAAGTCTCCAATTTACAATGGTTTGACTAACAATTTTTTTAACATTACAATAGTACAAAGGCAATACACATTCAGTAGAAACTGTACTTTGGATTTTGAATTTTGACCTTTTCCCAGGCTAGTGAAATGTGATGTGATGCTCTCTCACGATGCTGGGCAGCCTTAATGGACCACAGTTCCCAGTCAGCTACGTGATCAGGAGGGTAAACAGCCATGAGATAGTCAGCACTTTATTATAAAATAGGCTCTGTGTTAGATGATTTCGCCCATCTGTAGGCGAATGTAAGTGTTCTGAGCACGTTTAAGGTGGGCTAGGTTAACCTGTGATGTTTGGTAGGTTACACATATATTAAATGCATTTCTTTTTATTTCTTTTTGAGGCGGAGTCTCACTCTGTTGCCCAGACGGGAGTGCAGTGATGCAATATTGGCTCACTTCAACCTCTACCTCCTGGGTTCAAGCAATTCTCCTGTCTCAGCCTCCTGAGTAGCTAGGATTACAGGCCTGCACCACCACATCTGGTTAATTTTTATATTTTTAGTAGAGACAGGGTTTCACCACATTGGCCAGGCTAGTCTCGAACTCCTGACCTCAAGTGATGCATCCACCTTGGCCTCCCAAAGTGCTGGGATTACAGACATGAGCCACTGCACCTGGTCAAAATGCATTTTTGACTTACGATAATTTCAGTATATGATGGGTTTATGGGAATTACAACCACATTGTAAGTTGAAGAGCATTTGTGATACTAACATCAGCAATAGCAATAGCTAATCCATTTTACACAGGAGGACACAGGCTTGGAGGGGTTAAGAAATTTTCCCAGCTGGGCACGGTGGCTCACGCCTGGGAGGCTGAGGCGGGTGGATCACCTGAGGTCAGGAGTTCAAGACCAGCCTGGCCAACAAGGGTAAACCCAGTCTCCACAAAAATACAAAAAAAAAATTAGCCAGGCATGATGGCAGGTGCCTGTAATCCCAGCTACTCGAGTGGCTGAGGCAGGAGAATCGTTTGAACGTGGGAGGCAGAGGTTTCAGTGAGCTGAGATCACGCCATTGTACTCCAGCCTGGGTGACAGAGCAAGACTCTGTCTTAAAAAAAAAAAAAGAAAAGAAAAGAAAAGAAATTTTCCCAAGGCCATACAACCAGTAAGTGATAATGGAGAATTCAAATTTGGACTTCTCTGATCCATGCTTTATTGCTTCATGTGTATTCTTTCCTTAACAACACCAAGAGTGGCTTTATCCCTGGGCCCCTATTTGTGTAGGGTTCACAGGTCCATAGTAGACAAGATTTAATATCAAATAAATTCTTATTTTAGGGATTCAACCACGATGCAAATGACAAGCAAAATACACACATGCATGAAAATATGTGGTGCCTGAATTTAACTTCTAGGATCTAAAAGGGAATTATCCCCTCCTCTTCAGCAATGGTCTTGGCTTCCTGTAAGAGCTCTATCTCCAGCTGTTTCATATAACTTAGGCAGAAGAAAGAAAAAAAAATTAGGAAATGAAAAATCTGAGGAGGCTGAAGAAAGGAGTGATAATGAGAAGAGGTGAAAAAAAATGTATAAAGAAGTAAAAGTTGTGGGAAAAAATCACAACAACATCAAAATAGCTGTGGGTTTTAGAAAATCTCCATCTGGGCCGGGTGCAGTGGCTCACGCCTATAATCCCAGCACTTTGGGAGGCCAAGACAGGTGGATTACTTGAGGTCAGGAATTCGAGACCAGCCTGGCCAGAAACCCCGTCTCTACTAAAAATGTAAAAAATTAGCCGGACGTGATGGCAGGTGCCTATAATCCCAGTTACTTGGGAGGTTGAGGCAGGAGAATCACTGGAAGCTGAGAGGCAGAGGTTGCAGTCAGCCGAGATGGCAGCATTGCACTTCAGCCTGGGCAACGAAAGTGAAACTCAGTCTCAAAAATAAAGTCTCCATCTGCCCGCCCACCCTGCTGCAGATCTCTCGTCCGTTGAAGAGGTGCAGGTTCCTGCTTGTGCTCTGTTTGGTGGATGAGAGAAGAAAAAAGTGGTGGTGAGGGGAGAAAATGCTGTGGACTAAGATATTAGCCCCAACACCTTCATGCTTCATTAGAGGCACTTCGGGGGTTTAAAGGGACTTCAGCACTCCATTTCTAGACACACCCATGCTAAGCTTTTACTTAGTACTTTCATAAATCTTTTATGACCGTCCTCAAATAGTGCACCATGCCTCAACACCTTTACATAGCACCTAGCAAAGTGCTTTGCACACAGATGAGGGGGTCCCCAAATTTTTGAGGGAAGGAATAAACTACTTTTCACTTTGTCTCCTGATGAGTGGCGAGGTACTGATGGTCTATAGCCCATGGTTGGTACGTGTGTGGTAGGGTGATGTGGCAGTAGGGAAAGGAAAGATAGTTCACAATTAGAAGCCTCTGAACTGTGTCCTCCCCACCCCCAACTCACCTGGCCAGCATCTCAAGTGCCAATCTTCAAGGAAAACCACACTTTTTCCACTTTCTGCCATGGGAAATGGTGATGATACATGTGGAGAGAGATACCATGGCAACTTCTAGCCTGTAATTTACTGAGGTCGATTTTATGAACAAATCATTTTCCTCAAAGACTTCTACAAATTGTTAAGTATTTACTATCTCATTGAAAATGGGATTTATATCATTGGAAGATTTCAAGCTTGTCACTCTGTATCGGTCTACTACTATTCCTGCTCCTATCTACCGTGAACCACGGCATCAGTGGTATTTAGTAGTTGCTGTTTACTGTCTTTTGGGTGGCTGTATTCACGCTGTCCCTAGGAATCCAGAAACCTGTGGATTCTTGACACTAAGTACACATGCTTCCAGCTAATGAACATGTGTATGTATTTCTCTAGTTTGTAGGTTGATGGCTATCATTGGCAAGGGATACTATGTGCAGGAGGTTTGGGGAGAATAGTTGTAATAATTATAATCAGAGACATAGACTTTTTTTTTTTTTTTTGAGACGGAGTCTCGCCCTGTTGCCCAGGCTGGAGTGCAGTGGTCGGATCTCAGCTCACTGCAAGCTCCGCCTCCCGGGTTTACACCATTCTCCTGCCTCAGCCTCCTGACTAGCTGGGACTACAGGCGCCCGCCACCTCGCCTGGCTAGTTTTTTGTATTTTCTAGTAGAGATGGGGTTTCACCGTGTTAGCCAGGATAGTCTCGATCTCCTGACCTCGTGATCCACCTGTCTCGGCCTCCCAAAGTGCTGGGATTACAGGCTTGAGCCACCGCACCCGGCCAATGCTCATTTTTAAATACTCACAAAATAAAGCAGTTATCTTTTGTGGTATTTTTAGTGTTAACATAAGAACTGTGAACAAAGACTGAGTATTTTGGTATGTTTTCATTTTTCTGAGATAATAATGTATGCCTATATATTTGGTGGGGGTTAGTAGGTCTGAGTTATCACAGGTACCAACAAAAATAAATCCTTTTTGATTATATATATTTTAAAAATTAGAGGAGATTTTATTTTATTTATTTATTTATTTGAGACTGAGTCTTCATTCTGTTGCCCAGGCTGGAGTGCAGTGGCATGATCTCGGCTCACTGCAAGCTCCGCCTCCCGGGTTCACGCCATTCTCCTGCCTCAGCCTCCGAAGTAGCTGGGACTACAGGCGCCCGCCACCATACCCAGCTAATTTTTTGTATTTTTTAGTAGAGATGGGGTTCACCGTGTTAGCCAGGATGGTCTCCATCTCCTCACCTCGTGATCCACTTGCCTCGGCCTCCCAAAGTGCTGGGATTACAGGCGTGAGCCACCGCTCCCGGCTTTTTTTTTTTTTTCCTGAGACAGAATGTCACTGTCACCCAGGCTGGAGTGCAATAGCGAGATCTCGGCTCACTGCAACCTCCACCTCCCAGATTCAAGCAGTTCTCCTACCTCAGCCTCCCAAGTAGCTGGGACTACAGGCACCTGCCACCACACCTGGCTAATTTTTTGTATTTTTGGTAGAGTCAGGGTTTCACCATGGTGGCCATGCTGGTCTCGAATTCCTGACCTCAGGTGATCCACCTGCCTTGGCTTCCTGAAGCACAAGCATGAGCCACCGTGCCCAGCCGAGATTTGAATTTTAAAGTTCAACTCTTAAAAATTTTCCTTTAGGTTTGAGGTCAACACAGTAATCATATTCCCGTTTATAACAACCAAATTTCACTTATCACTGAATGGCAACTAACATGGAATGGTACCCTGGGTCCTCGCTTTTAGTTCAAAGCCCTTGTACTGGTGAAGAAAGTGTTGATTTCTTCAAAGTCTTCACAGAAGCTTCTTGTCAGCTTTTGAGAATGCAGGGAGTCCTTTTCCGAGTCCCACAGAAATTGTTCAGCTTTATCACCCTAAATATAGGGAAGGAGGGAGGCACTGCCTTCTCTTCCTCCTCCTCTACTTGAGGAATCTTACTTACCTCAAGGGTGTCCTGACTGAAATCTTGCTGTGTGTTTTTTTTTTAGGGCTGCCCTGTTTTCTAACAGGTGGAGGGAAGCAGAGGAAGAACAGGGACGAAGGGAGGTGAGTAAGACCTTCCCTGACCATCTAAGGTACCACCCCATTCCTCCTCGCTGACATTCCCTCTCCGTACCCTGTGCTCTTTCCTTTCCCAGCACAGCATTCATGCATGTATTTATTTTTGATCTACCTATTTCCTCTCCCTCCCCCCACAGGACTTTTTCTGGCTTGCAGCAAACACAAGAGTTTCTGGCCTAGAGTGAACTCTCAATATCTGTTAAATGAATGTGTATATATGTATCTATAATTTGTATTTTTATTTATTTATTTATTATTTATTTTTGAGACAAAGTTTCGCTCTTGTTGCCCAGGCTGGAGTGCAGTGGCGAGATCTCGGCTCACTGCAACGACCGCCTCCCGGGTTCAAGCAATTCTCCTGCCTCAGCCTCCTGAGTAGCTGGGATTACAGGCACACCACCATGCTCGGCTAATATTTTATATTTTTAGTAAAGACAGGGACTTCACCATGTGGCCCAGTCTGGTCTCAAACTACTGACCACAGGTGATCTACCCACCTCAGGCTTCCTAAGTGCTGGGATTACTGGTGTGAGCCACAGCGCCCGGCCTAACACATTTTTTTTTTTTTTTTTTTTTAATAATCATTTCCTGGCCAGGCACGATGGCTCATGCCTGTAATCCCAGCACTTTGGGAGGCTTAGGTGAGAGGATCACCTGCGGTCAGGAATTTGAGATCAGCCTGGTCAACATGTTGAAACCGTGTCGCAACTAAAAATACAAAAATTAGACCAGGCGTGGTGGCTCACAACTGTAATCCTAGCACTTTGGGAGGCTGAGGTGGGTGGATCACAAGGTCAGGAGATCGAGACCATCCTGGCTAACACAGTGAAACCCCATCTCTACTAAAACTACCAAAAAAAATTAACCCAGCATGGTGGCGGGCACCTATAGTCCCAGTTACTCGGGAGGCTGAGGCAGGAGAATGGCGTGAACCTGGGAGGCAGTGTTTTCAGTGAGCTGAGATCGCACCACTGCACTATAGCCTGGGCGACAGAGGCGAGACTCTGTCTCAAAATAAATAAATAAATAAATAAATAAATAAATAAATAAATAAATAAAATAAATTAAATTTAAAAAATTAGCCGGGCCTGGTGGCCGACACCTGTAACCCCAGCTACTCGGGAGGCTGAGACAGGAGAATTGCTTGAACCTGGGAGGCAGAGATTTCAGTGAGCTCCAGCCTGGCGACAGAGCAAGACTCTGTCTCAAAAAAAAAAAAAAAAAAAAAACTTAAAAATTAAAAATTATTGGGCCGGGCAGAGTGTCTCACACCTGTAATTCCAGCACTTTGGGAGGCCGAGACAGGCGGATCATGAGGCCAGGAGATCGAGACCATCCTGGCTAACACAGTGAAACTCCGTCTCTACTAAAAATACAAAAAGATTAGCCGGGCATGGTGGCGGGCGCCTGTAGTCCCAGCTACTTGGGAGGCTGAGGCAGGAGAATGGCGTGAACCCGGGAGGCGGAGCTGGCAGTGAGCCAAGACCACACCACTGTACTCCAGCCTGGGTGACAGAGCAATACTCTCAAAAAAAAAAAAAAAAAATTATCCGCTTCTCCCCAGGGGCCTAAAAGCTTGAAGGATGAGTATCTCCTCCCTTTTCAGGCCCAGTCCCAAGGCTCAAGGCCACTTGTACCAGCAGCATGTGTCAGCAAGATAGCAGAAGCAGGAAGAGAGCCGGCCAGAAGACGCCTACCCTGGTTGGAAGACAAGTACCCCATGAAGATCAAGAGGGAGGCCGTCCGGGTACCGCCTAGCAGTTACATCAGACTGAGACACTTCCTGTTTACAGGAGACTATAAAAGCCCTGCCCCGTCCTCTTTTGGTCCTGACGCCATTTTAGGCCTCAGCCTGCGGGCACCCAGGCGTTAATTAAAACAGCATATTGCTCTGCACCGCCTCATGCTGTCTGCTGGCACGCTCTCGGGGTTGGAACTGATACAAGAATCTTTCACTATCCACTGAGGCTCTCTGCTGGATGCTGAGAAAATCAAGATGAATTGCAGGGCCCTGGCCCTTTTTTTTTTTTCGAGACAGTCTCACTCTGTCGCCAGGCTGGAGTGCAGTGGCACGATCTTCACTCACTGCAACCTCCAAAAAGTCATGATGAAACTGGGAAGTTCAAGCAATTCTCCTGCCTCAGCCTCCTGAGTAGCTGGGACTACAGGCACACACCACCACACCCAGCTAATTTTTGTATTTGTAGTAGAGATGGGGTTTCATCATGTTGGCCAGGATGGTCTTGATCTCCTGACCTCAAGTGATTTACCCGCCTCTGTCTCCCAAAGTGCTGGGATTACAGGCATGAGCCACCGCACCCGGCCAGGTGCTGGCCCTCTTAAAGCTCACATCTTAAACTGTGGAGACAGACACATAAATGCTGATGAGGTCCTGTAATGCATGCTACAATAACGGTATGTACATAGTAATGGGGGGACTTGCTTGGGTAGGAATGCATCCAGGTGGTGGTGAGGACAATTCAATATAACTGTAAATATTAATGTAAATGTTACTAAAGTAACACATGTGTATACAGCAAAAAGTCATGATGAAACTGGGAAGTTCTGTATACTTCCTTGCCTCCTGGCCAGAGACCTCCATCTCCCTGCTGCAGCCTGGTCTGGTTACTTTACCGACCTGTAGTAGCTGTTTTCCTGGGACTACCCTTTCCGGGTCTCCAGAGTTGCAGTCATGTTTCCTGGATTCCATGTCTATTTCTTTCTTGCTTATTTCTTTATTTTGCTAAAGCATATCCTTGTAGTGTGTCTCCAAGAAAAGGTGCCTAGGATGTATCATTTGAGTAATTATATATCTAAAAATGTTTTTGTTCCACTCTCATGCTTGATCGATAGTATAGCAAGATATAGAATTCTAAATTGAAAGTCATCATCCTTCAAAATGTTAAAGGCATCCACTGTCTTCTGGCATCAGTTTGCATTGAAGAGTCCAATATACTGTTCTGACACCCAATTCTTTGAATGTGGATTGTTTTTACTCTCTGGTTGTTTTCAGGGTTATCCCTTCAGTCAAGGTGTTCTGAAAATTCACCATCACATGTCTGGATGTGGGTTATTTTTCATTCATTGTTCCACAAACATGGCCTCATTCTGAGTGATTTTTTTTTTTTTTAAGAAACAGGGTCTTGCTTTGTTGCCCAGGCTGAAGTGCAGTAGCACAATCATAGGTCACTGCAGCCTCAAACTCTTGGGCTCAAGTGATCGTTTTGCCTTAGCATCCCAACTAACTGGAACTACAGATACGGGCCACCAAGCCTGGCTATCTTTTTTTTCATATTTTTTTAGAGACGAGTCTCACTATGTTGCCCAGCCTGGTCTCAAACTCCTGGCCTCAAGCAGTCCTCCCACCTCCAAGTCTTTGGGATTACAGGTGTGAGCCACCACGCCCATCTTGAGTTATTTTACTGACTTTTATCAGTGTCTTCCGTGGTTCCTTGTGAGATTGTGTACTCATGACTTTAGAAAAATTGGAGAACAAATTTTTGTATTTTGAATAGCTATTTTCAGTTGTTTTCTTGGCTTAATCCAATTTTAAATATTTACTATATGAAAGAAATTCCAAAAACAGCATTCTTTTCCACAAAATAAAACATATATCATAGATTAATGTCTTCCATTTATATAATTTTTATAGTTTAGTGATTTCAAAAACTTGATCCGATACAATATCTTACCGGCTATTTTGTTATATTTTAAAGAAGATAAATCATAACAACTTATAAATCAATAAAAACTTACAGGCTAGGTGCGGTGGCTCACACCTGTAATCCCAGCACTTTGGGAGGCCGAGGCGGGCAGATCATGAGGTCAGAAGATCGAGACCATCCTGGCTAACACGGTGAAACCCCATCTCTACTAAAAATACAAAAAATTAGCCAGGCAGGGTAGCGGGCGCCTGTAGTCCCAGCTATTCGGGAGGCTGAGGCAGGAGAATGGCATGAACCCGGGAGGCAGAGCTTGCACTGAGCCAAGATCGCGCCACTGCACTCCAGCCTGGGCGACAGAGTGAGACTCCATCTCGGAATAAAAAAAAAAAACAGATTACTTGTGATTTTCTGTTTTCTTTTTTTTTTTTTATGAGACAGAGTTTCACTCTTGTTGCCCAGGCTGCAGTGTAATGGTGCAATCTTGGCTCACTGTAGCCTTCACCTTCTGGGTTCAAGTGATTCTCCCAAGTAGTTGGGATTTCAGGCGCCCACCACCACGCCTAGCTAATTTTTGTATTTTTAGTAGAGACGGGGTTTCACCCTGTTGGCCATGCTGGTCTCGAACTCCTGACCTCAGGTGATCCACCTGCTGCGGCCTCCAAAGTGCTGGGATTACAGGTGTAAGTCACCGCACCTGGCCTCTTTTTCTATTTTTGAAAAAAATAGTAGGTATATGTGTAATTTTTTTGTATCAGGGATTTGGTTAGCATTTTCTTTGCTCTAGATAAATGAAAAGAATGAGAAGAAAGGGCTGTGTGATGAAGAATGTAGAAAGTGAAATGGGTAATTTGGGGGTGGAAGTGGAAAATCCAAAGAGAAAGAAAAATACACATACACACACACACACACACACACACACAACTAGTAATCTGTTTGAGGAACCAGGCTAATGTCTTACAAGACATAGACATTGAGGCTGGGCGCGGTGGCTCAAGCCTGTAATCCCAGCACTTTGGGAGGCTGAGACGGGTGGATCACGAGGTCAGGAGATCGAGACCATCCTGGCTAACACGGTGAAACCCCGTCTCTACTAAAAAATACAAAAAACTAGCCGGGCGAGGTGGTGGGCACCTGTAGTCCCAGCTACTCGGGAGGCTGAGGCAGGAGAATGGTGTAAACCCAGGAGGCGGGGCTTGCAGTGAGCTGAGATCCCGCCACTGCACTCCAGCCTGGGCGACAGAGCGAGACTCCATCTCAAAAAAAAAAAAAAAAAAAAGACATAGACATTGAAACAAAATCTTATACTTTATGTACTGAGGTGGCAACAAGGTTTAGCTTTATGCATTTGTAGGGTCCAGCTTGTCTGAGAGAGGAATAAGCAATGAGTCCTCCACTTTTGCTGCCTGAACATGGGGAGAGATTCTGTGACAATTTTTTTTTTTCAGTCTTTGGTTTCACCACTAACTAAATATGTTTTGGGTTCCCATCCAGTCTGAGAACAGAAATATGTCACTTGCCTTGGTTTTAGGTTTAAAACTAGATTTCACGGTTTCTAAGTTATATGAATGCTACCAAGAGTAAAACAAAAATTCAAATTTTTATTAAGCCCATATCTCGTTCAGTTATTTTTGCTTAATGTTTTTTTTCCTTTTTCAGTCCAACAAAAATCCAAGTCTTAGACTACCTTGGCAAAAAATCTTAAAATAATAATGCTCAGGTGGCTGGGGATGGTGGCTCACGCCTGTAATCCCAACACTTTGGGAGGCCAAGGCAGGCAGATCACCTAAGGTTGGGAGTTCAAGACCAGCCTGACCAATAGGGTGAAACCCTATCTCTACTAAAAATGCAAAATTAGCCAAGCATGGTGGCACATGCCTGTAATCCCAGCTACTCAGGAGACTGAGGCAGAAGAACTGCTTGATCCCGGGAGTCTGAAGTTGCAGTGAACCAAGTATTGCATTCCAGCCTGAGTAACAACAGCAAAACTCTGTCTCAAAAAAAATAAAAAGAAAAATTAGCCAGGTGTGGTGGCCCATGCCTGTAATCACAGCTACTACGGAGGCTGAGGTAAGAGAATCACTTGAACCCAGGAGGTAGAGGTTGCAGTGAGTTGAGATTGTGCCACTGCACTCCAGCCTGGGTGACAGTGAGACTGTCTCAAAAAAAAAAAAAAAAAAAAAGAAAAGAAAAGAAAAGAAGTGGGTTTTAGCGAACATATAGTCTCTGTCATACCCCAGTACAGAAAGAAAGCCAACAAATATTCTTAGAAGCTGTCAGAGAGCTGACAAGGCTTCAAGGACCCGTTAGAGAAAAAGTTTTGGTATCCATGGCAAAGTGACACAAGAATAAAGGTTTTTGGAAGCAGTATGCTCACCAGCTGAGTGACATTGCTAAGTTCCTTGATCTTTCTGAAGCTGAGTTGTCTTGCTCAGTAAAATAGGAATAGTATATAATAGCATCTCTCTCTTAGGGGTGTAAGTATTATAATGTAAAGTCCCTAGAACATAATAAACACTTAACAAATGTTAATACATTGGACAAAGGGATGATTTATGTCCTGGTGGGGACAGAGTGGGATGGCACAAGATTTCTTTTTTTGTGCGTGATGGAGTCTTGCTCTTTCGCCCAGGCTGCAGTGCAGTGGAGCGATCTTGGCTCACTGCAACCTCTGCCTCCCGGTTTCAAGTAATTCTTATCATGTTGGCCAGGCTGGTCTCAACCTCCTGACTTCAGGTGATTCCCATGCCTCGGCCTCCCAAAGTGCTGGGATTACAGGCGTGAGCCACCCTGCCCAGCCGGCACAAGATTTCATCATGCTATTCAGAATGGTACACAATTTTAAACTAATAAATTATTTCTGGAATTTTTTATTTTTCTTTTTTAAGACAGTCTCACTCTGTCACCCAGGATGGAGTGTAATCGCACGATCTCGCTGACCGCAACCTCCACCTCCGAGGTTCAAATGATTCTTCTGCCTCAGCCTCCCAAGTAGCTGGGCTTACACAAGCCACCACCTCACCCGGCTAATTTTCATATTTTTGGTAGAGACAGGGTTTCACCATGTTGGCTAGGCTGGTCTCCAACTCCTGACCTCAAGTGATCCACCCGCCTCAGCCTCCCAAAGTACTGGGATTACAGGTGTGAGCCGCCGCACCCGGCCACTTTCCAGCTTCTAGAAGCTGCCCACATTCCTGTGTCACGTCCATTTTCCTATCGTCAAGACCAGTAGTAGCTGCTCAGGTTTTCATATCGCTTTACTCTGACTGCCTCTTCTGCTTGCCTCTCTCACATCTAAAAGGACGCTTGTGATTACACTGGGCCCACCTGGATGATCCGGGATAATCTTCCTATTTTAAGGTCAGCTGATTAGCAACCTTCATTCCATCAATTACCTTGATTCCCCTTGCCATGTAATGTAACATAGTCACAGGTTCTAGGGATTACAACACGGACATCCTGAGGAGGGGGTGCCATTATGCCTGTCACAGGGGGTTAGAAATTCAGGAGCATCTTAACTCAGGGTTTCTCATGAGGGTGCAGTCAAGATGTCAGCTTAGTCTTCAGCCATTTGGAGGCCTGACTGGGCCTGGAGGGTGCCTTTCCCAGGGGACTTACCAAGTTAGTGCTGGTTGTTGGTGGAGGGCATCAGTTTCTCCCCATACGAGGCTCTCTTCTGCTACTTGCATGTCCTCAAGACATGGCTATGGGCTTCCCCCAGCACAAGTGATCCAAGAGAGCAAAGCAGCAGCAGCAATGTCTTTTCTAATCTAGCCTCAAAAGTCACACGCTAACATGTCCATTATGCTCTATAGGTCAAAGACTAAACCATACAACGCGGGAGGGGGCCATCCAAAGTGTGAATACCAGAAGCTGAGGCTAATGGGAGCATATTGGAGGCAGGCTACTACACGACCACAGCCTTGCTGTGAAATCTGTTCTAACCGCTTCCCTACCCGCAACACACTCCCGTATGCATTCTCTCTGCCCTCTTCCAACTTACACTACCCTTTATTTCACTCACGTGTCTACAGGTCAGTTTCCCTTTTCCTTATTCTGAGCACACTGAGGTTAGGGATGATGCTTCATTTACTTCTGAATTCCTAACATTCAACATAGTGTGACTGAACTGAATTAAATTAAGGAAAGAAGTCGGATGACCAGAACTTGGAAACAAACCCCAGTCTTTCACGGGAGGCTTGCTGAATGTAGATGGTAGATTACTTGAATTTGAAGACTAGCCACAGAGAGGCTTCATCTGGTAAATCCCTTGAGAAATAAGGTATCTTTACAGCCGGCAATTCTGCCTATGGAGCAGCCATTTTGCTTACATGGTTGCCCTAATAAGCTTGCTTTCTTTAAAAAATATATATATATATATATCTTTTTAGTAAATATAAGGAACTTGAGGGCTGAGGACTCTGCATATTTCTTTTTATTACTTTCCCGCATTGAATAAAATTGAAACTTGATAACCATGCAGAGTATCTGCAGTCTTTTTTTTTTTTTTTTTGAGACAGTTTCGCTCTGTCGCCCAGACTGGAGTTCAGTGGCGTGATCTCAGCTCACTGCAACCTCCACCTCCCTGGTTCAAGCAATTTCCCTGCCTCAGCCTCCCAAGTAGCTGGGATTACAGGCGCACACTGAGAGGTGACAACGTGCTAGCAGCCCTCGCCAGCTGTCGGCGCCTCTTCGGCCTCAGCGTCCGCTCTGGCCGCGCTCGAGGAGCCCTTCAGCCTGCCGCTGCGCTGTGGAGGCCCTTCTCTGGGGCTGGCCGAGGCCGGAGCCGGCTCCCTCTGCTCGCGGGGAGGTGCGGAGGGAGAGGCGCCGGCGGGAGCCGGGGATGCGCGCGGCGCTCGCTGGCCCGCGCGTATTCCGGGTGGGCGCGGGCTCGGCGGACCCCGCACTCGGCGCAGCCGGCTGGCGCTTGCTGGGCTTGATTGGGGGCGGGCAGGGGGGGACACCTCCCTCTGCGTTGCCGCAGTGCCCGGGCTAGGTGCTGCAAAGTCCCGCAGCGAGTGTCACTGAAGGGTGTGGCCCGCTGGGCTTCTGGAACTGGGGGGGGAATTGGAGAACTTTTGTCTAGCTAAAGGATTGTAAATGCACCAATCAGCACTCTGTGTCTAAATAAAGGTTTGTAAATGCACCAATTAGCCCTCTGTCAAAACGGACCAATCAGCAGGATGCAGGTGGGGCCGATAAGGGAATAAAAGCAGGCGACTGAGCCACCAGTGGCATCCTGGTTGGGTCCAGTTCTGTGCTGTGGACACTTTGGTGTTTGGTTCCTCACAATAAATCTTGCTGTGCACTCTTTGGGTCCACACCACCTTTATGAGCTGCAACACTCACTGCGAAGGTTTGCAGCTTGGCTCCTGAAGCCAGTGAGACTACGAACCAGGAGGGATGAAGAACTCTGGACAGGCTACCTTTATGAACTGTAACACTCACCGCGAAGGACTGCAGCTTCACCCCTGAAGCCAGCAAGACCACTGAACCCACCGGAAGAAACGAACAACTCCACACGTGCCGCATTTAAGAGCTGTAACACTTACTGCGAAGGTCTGCAGCTTCACTCCTGAAGTTAGCATAGACCATGAACCCTCCAGAAGGAAAAAACTCCAGACACATCTGAACATCTGAAGGAACAAATGTCCAGACACACCATCTTTAAGAACTGTAACACTTACTGCGAGAGTCCGCTGCTTCATTCTTGAAGTCAGCGAAACCAAGAACCCACCAATTCTGGACACACCACCACCACGCCCATCTAATTTTTCTATTTGTAGTAGAGATAGGGTTTCACCATGCTGACCAGGCTGGTTTTGAACTCCTGACCTAAGTTAATCTATCCACCTCTGCCTCCCATAGTGCTGGGATTACAGGTGTGAGCCGCCACACACAGCCTTTTTTTTCTTTTGAGATGGCATTTCTCTCTTGTTGCCCAGGCTGGAGTGCAATGGTGCGATCTTGGATCTCAGCTCACTGCAACCCCCACCTCCCAGATTCAAGCAATTCTCCTGCCTCAACCTCCCAAGTAGCTAGGATTACAGTCATGTACCACCACAGCCAGCTAATTTTTGTATTTTTAGTAGAGATGGGTTTTTGCCATGTTGGCCAGGCTGGTTTCAAACTCCTAACCTCAGGTGATCCACCCCCCTCGGCTTCCCAAAGTGCTGGGATTACAGGTATGAGCCACCATGCCAGGCCATTTTGGTCTTTTTGTTGTTGTTATTGACAGTTTTGCTCTGCTGCCTAGGCTGGAGTGCAGTGGCATGATCTCGGCTCCCTGCAACCTCTGCCTCCTGGGTTCAAGCAATTCTTCTGCCTCAGCCTCCCGAGTAGCTGGGACTACAGGTGTACACCACCACCCCTGGCTAATTTTTGTATTTTTAGTAGAGATAAGGTTTCACCATGTTGGCCAGGCTGGTCTCAAACTCCTGACCTCAGGTAATCCACCTCCCATAGTGCTGGGATTACAAGCATGAGACACCGTGCCCAGGCCTTTTTTGTCTATTTTTATGTGGAGGCTACTCACCATAAACCAGTCTTTTTTTAAATTTTTTAATTTTTTGTGAGACAGTCTCACTCTGTCACCCAGGCTGGAATGCAGTGGCACGACCTCTGCTCACTGCAACCTCCACCTCCCAGATTCAAACAATTCTCCTGCCTCGGCTTCCTGAGTAGCTAGGACTACAGGCATCCACCACCACGCCTGGATAAGTTTTGTAGTTTTTGTAGAGATGGGGTTTCACTATGTTGGCCAGGCTAGTCTGGAACTCTGGCCTCAAGCAATCCACACACCTCAGCTTCCGAAAGTGCTGAGATTACAGGCATGAACGCCCGTGCCTGGCAAGTCATTCTTGATCTTTCAAGATTCAACTGTATTATGACAACTAATAAGTGAGGATGACTTTTCTGCCTTATTTAGGCCCCTACTCTTTCTAAGCATCTTTCCATACACCAGAGAGACTGTTGACAATTCCTCCAAAGACAGGACTTATTTGGACCCCTAAAATTTAAAGTTTCTAGCTATTCTGTGTTCTCTTCTTGGATGGCAGCATGAAAGATTCCAGGGCCATACGCTGTGTTTGCTCTGTGTGTCTCCATAAGAAATATATGCAGTTTCCCAAACTGATTATTAACCTAGACTTTCTAGAGATGTCTGTGAAAAGTATTGTAGCATCTTGTGTTAGTGAAAATGGTTTCAAATTAGACAGCCTGAATTTCTTAATAGAAACCAAAGAGACTTTTGGGTAGTACATGAATTGAAAGGAAAGAATCTGCCAGTTTCTAGCCAAAAGGTGACCCTTTTAAAGACATATTTGTTAGTTGTGAGTGACAGAGGTTACAGAGTCAGGCAGGACCATTTCTAAAGTGTTAAACTGACCTTAGGTAACAAGGTCATGAGGTCGGTAGGGGTCAGGATTGGTCGAGGAGAACTCTTTGCCTTTTGTGGAGAGCTTTAAAAGGCTTCAACTTCCCGTCCCTCCCTCTCTTCTTTCTGGTCTCACCCTGCCTGGCTGTTTTCTAAAAGCCACCATGATTTGAAAACTGACTTATGGGCTGACCTCCCCAGCCTGAGGGCACATGGACAACCAGATGCTGTAGTTCAAACCTATTCCTGTTCGGCAGGGTGGCAGAGGCCAGGAAGCCTGGAGATGGGGACTTTCCTCCTCCCCTTTGCAATCTATAAAAATTGTCTAATGAAGGAAGGGTGTGGTGGCTCACGCCTGAAATCCCAGCACTTTGGGGAGGCTGAGGTGGGGAGATCACTTGAGGTCAGGAGTTCAAGACCAGCCTGGCTAACATGGTGAAACCCTGTCTCTACTGAAAATACGAAAATTAGCCAGGCGTGGTGGCAGGCGCCTGTAGTTCCAGCTACTTGTGAGGCTGAGGCAAGAGAATCACTTGAACCCAGGAGGCAGAGGTTGCAGTGAGTCAAGATTGTGCCATTGCATTCCAGCCTGGGCAACAGAGCAAGACTCAGTCTCAAACAAACAAACAACAACAACAGAAAACAAACAAACAAACAAAAACAAAAAACAGAAGAGAGAGAATTGTTTTATGAATATATGACCTTCAGTTCTGTTCTTACTTTGTTTTGTTTTGTCTCTTTATGTTGCCAGGCTAAAGTGCAGTGGCTATTCGTAAGCACGGTCATCACACATTGTAGCCTCTAACTCCTGGGCTCAAGCAACTCCTGCCTCAGCCTCCTGAGTAGCTGGGACTACAGGATCTCACCACCATACCAGGCTTGGTCATCAGTTGTTTATATTATTTCCCTTTGGCTTCTCTGTGTTTATAAAATGTTTGAATTGGTGTCTTTGATAAAGTTGAGCAAATCATTAAAACTTTTGGGGACTAATTTTTTTCTCATCAACAAAATGAGAAAAACTGCATAAGCTATTTTTGCTTCATGTTCGTTTGTGTAGCTAAAATGTATATACTTTTTTTGGTCTTGATTAGTAAACATTAGAAAAGCCTCTCTTTTCTTTTTTTTTTTTTTTTTTTTTGAGACAGAGTCTCGCTCTGTCGCCCAGGCTGGAGTGCAGTGGCCGGAACTCAGCTCACTGCAAGCTCCGCCTCCCGGGTTCACGCCATTCTCCTGCCTCAAGACTCCCGAGTAGCTGGGACTACAGGCGCCCGCCACCTCGCCCGGCTAGATTTTTGTATTTTTTAGTAGAGACGGGGTTTCACCGGGTTAGCCAGGATGGTCTTGATCTCCTGACCTCGTGATCCGCCCGTCTCGGCCTCCCAAAGTGCTGGGATTACAGGCTTGAGCCACCGCGCCCGGCCAACCTCTCTTTTCTATAATATCTAAATCACTCCGCTGGGCATGGTGGCTCATGCCGGTAATCCCAGCACTTTGGGAGGCAAAGGCCGGCAGATCACCTGAGGTCAGGAGTTTGAGACCAGCCTGGCCAACATGGTGAAACTGTGTCTCTACTAAAAATACAAAAAACTTAGCCAGGCATTGTGGCAGGCACCTGTAATCCCAGCTACCTGGGAGGTGGAGGCAGGAGAATCACTTGAGCCTGGGAGGCGGAGGTTGCAGTGAGCCAAGACCACACCATTGCACTCCAGCATGGGCAACAAGAAAGAAGCTGTTTCAAAAAAAAAAAAAAAAAAAAAAAAAAAAAAAAAA